TATACTTAATTCTCCTATTACCAAGGTGTTAACTTAATCCTCATATTACAAAGATGTTACACTTAATTCTCCTATTACAAAGATGTTACACTTAATCCTCCTATTACCAAGATGTTAAACATTTAATCCTCCTATTACCAAGGTATTGCATGTACATGGCTTTATCTTTCTATTACCAAGATGTTACACTTAATCCTCTATGACAAAGATGTTACACTTAATCCTCTATGACAAAGATGTTAAACACTTAATTCTTCTATTACAAAGGTGTTAAACATATAAACTTCCTGTTACTAAGTGTTCAAACAAAAACACTTAACCTTCCTACTGTGAAGATGTTAAAAACATGGTTTTCCTATTACCTAGGTATCGGATATACCTCCTATTACAAATGTGCATTTTTTTTAGACTTTATCTACATTGTAACTTAATTATCAGTATTCAATGATGTGATTTACAAATGTTTGATTGTTTTGAGTAAGGCATATCTGTTTTTTTTTAATTAACCTAATGACTAATTTTTAGTTAATTATTATAAGGTGCTGAACCAAAATATTTGTAATCAAATGATTAAAACACTTGGTATATGTATGTCACATCATCATGTTCACCTGTTTAATTACCAGATTGAAATAACTGTCTTTTTAAGTCTCTTCGCTTTGAGTGAGTACTGATAAATTGGTTGACAAAGTGTGTCTTACTTTTATCATATACTTTTCCACATCATTTCGTTCATAACACTTTGGCCAAGAAATAGTTTTAAGAAAAATAAAGAAAACACTAACTCATAGGTTAGTTCTTAATGATTGTTGCTGTTACATGTTGTGTAATATCACCTAAAAATGATTGTCACTTGTTAACACAGATGTTTAAACAAATGGTAACATGGTTATATCAGTTGTAGCACCTTTTATTTACAAAATAAAAATGTCTTAAGTATTATTTGTGTACTCTGATGAATATTACAATTAGAATAAACTTTTTTATAGTGATATCAGTACTATGCCTTAATTGGTCATGAGTAACTTGATGATAAGCCATTCATTGGACCTATTTTTGTGCATTTTTTTATAGACTTTATCTACATTGTAACTTAATTATCAGTATTCAATGAAACTAATAAATGGACCTTACGATTTGATGAAAGAAATGTCATTATCATTAAAACTGATGATTGACCTAGAGTATAAGGTGGTAGAAATGTGTCATTCTCATTAAAACTGATGATTAACCTAGGGTATAAGGTGGTAGAAATGTGTCATTCTCATTAAAACTGATGACTGACCTAGGGTATAAGGTGGTAGAAATGTGTCATTCTCATTAAAACTGATGATTAACCTAGGGTATAAGGTGGTAGAAATGTGTCATTCTCATTAAAACTGATGATTGACCTAGGGTATAAGGTGGTAGAAATGTGTCATTATTATTAAAACTCATTGGCCTTGGGGTTGGGGTATGATGTTACATGTAGGAACTTGTCATTATGAGGGTAACTAATAATTATCATTAAACTATAATGGGTCTAAGGATTATGGCTGTACAAGAGTAAAATGTGATTGTGAGTGCAACTACTAATGGATCTGAATCTATATAATGATACAAACAGGTTATTATCAACAAGTAAAATGAATAATATATTATAAATTACTTATATATATTTGTCAGAGAGAGTTTCTTTGTGTTTTTATAGTATATTTGATTGTATATGCTAATGGTACTAAGTTGAACAGCATGCCAGCTCAGACTTTATTTGTGTCTGATTTAGCACAGATTGCTGAACCCACAGTTTCAGTATTCTTAGGTGAAAATTAACAATGATTAATTTATTTTTTGTGATGATTCTGTAGGATTAGGCCTGGGTCCTCTTATGGAATCTGTAATCATGGTCAACCCACAAATCATCTCCTTAGCATTTCTGGCAACTTCAGTCATTTTTATAAGCTTCACTCTGTGCTCATTGTTCAGCAAACGAGGAAGTTGGCTTTTCCTCGGAGGTAAGTTACATGTAATAAGTTACAGGAGTAAACATGATGATAATAGCTGTATATCATACATACTACTTCAGGCCAAACAAACACTTCCAAAATATAACATTAATATCTTGTTTACAGTGTAGCTTACAGGAGAAAACATGATGATAACAGCTGTGTATCATACTTAATACCTCAGGCCAAACAAACACTTCCAAAATATAATATTAATATCTTGTTTACAGTGTAGCTTACAGGAGAAAACATGATGATAACAGCTGTGTATCATACATAATACCTCAGGCCAAACAAACACTTCCAAAATATAACATTATATTTTGTTTACAGTGTAGCTTACAGGAGTAAACATAATGATAACAGCTGTGTATCATACATACTATTTTAGGCCAAACAAACACTTCCAAAATATAATATTACTAACTTGTTTATAGTGTAGCTTACAGGAGTAAACATGATGATAACGGCTGTGTATCATACATACTACTTCAGGCCAAACAAACACGTCCAAAATATAACATTACTATCTTGTTTTTACAGTGTGGTTTTAAAGTTTATTTACAGCTGGAAAATTGTTTATATTTGGATATGTTATTAGAAAGAATAAAAATTGGAATAGAGGTTTCAGAATTGTTTTTTATATTTTTATACATGTTTTTTCTGCTTATATCCTATTATTAATAAAGCACTTGATACTTTATTAAATTTGTTTTTTTTCTGATTTCAGGATCTTTGATGTCTGCTATTTCTGTCATGTTCCTGATGGGTTTGGTGAATTTGTTTACAAGATCTGTTTTCATCTATCAGGTAGTTATTGTTTGAATAGTAAAGCAGATTACAAAATCTATGTATGCTAGGACATATAGCACTTGTCAGATTGATCCAGACTTCAGGTATTAGTGCCCTCTGAAGTCATGTACTCTAAGAGGATTACAAAATCTATGTATGCTAGGACATATAGCACTTGTCAGATTGATCCAGACTTCAGGTATTAGTGCCCACTGAAGTCATGTACTCTAAGAGGATTACAAAATCTATGTATGCTAGGACATATAGCACTTGTCAGATTGATCCAGACTTCAGGTATTAGTGCCCACTGAAGTCATGTACTCTAAGAGGATTACAAAATCTATGTTTGCTAGGACATATAGCACTTGTCAGATTGATCCAGACTTCAGGTATTAGTGAAGTCATGTACTCTAAAAGGATTACAAAATCTATGTATGCTAGGACATGTAGCACTTGTCAGATTGATCCAGACTTCAGGTATTAGTGAAGTCATGTACTCTAAGAGGATTACAAAATCTATGTATGCTAGGACATGTAGCACTTGTCAGATTGATCCAGACTTCAGGTATTAGTGTTCTCTGAAGTCATGTACTCTAAGAGGATTACAAAATCTATGTATGCTAGGACATGTAGCACTTGTCAGATTGATCCAGACTTCAGGTATTAGTGAAGTCATGTACTCTAAGAGGATAGAAGTGTGTATTTTGTGGAGATTTCTGTCTGCTGTCTCAAAAATCCTAAGACTCAGTTAGAATCACTGTAAGGAAAGAGAAGTACATAGTTAACATTTCAGCCAAAACTACCATTACTTTCATAAAGTCCCACTCTGAGTAGTTTCAGTAATATTTGTTTTTTAAACTTGATTGAAAGATATTCTTGCTGTTTTTTATTTTTCAAACAAAGATGTAATGTATTTACAATTTGTGTCTCTCACACCTTGTTTTTATACTCAAGCTGAGTGATGGAGTTGTTTGAGTCATGTTTATCAAGACTTAGAGAGGTGTAACTGTATTGTTAAGTTTACTGTTCTTCACCAAGTTGGTGGATCTGTTTAACCCTTTCACAGTGAGTACCCCCTTTCAACTCCTTTCTGCACAAGTCATCGAGTTACATTCAAAATTAGATTTAAAAAGTTTACTATCAATGTATGTCATTGAAACTAACATTGTAATCTGTTATAATTCAAAGTTTTATGCTATCTAAGTTTAAATTCTTTATTTTAAAAGAAACTTTAAAAAACAACTTAAACTTCAGTTTCATTCTCACATGACACACAAGCATTCATAAATCTGAAATTTTGGACCAGACAACTACACAGTGTATGTTTATACAAAAACTACATTTACAGTTTTTTCTTACCTAAATAGGAATTACTTAGAGAGACAGTTAAATTTTGTTTAGATTTTACCTTTATATTTTAGTTAATTATGTATTATATATGATTTAAAATGCTTATTTAAATTGAAATATGAGCTACTTCTGGATATGTTTGGGTTATGAAGTTATTGTAGCATAATACACTGGTTAGTATCCTGACTTGTTTGTGAACTACTGATGGATATGTCTGGGTTATGAAGTTATTGTACCGTAATACACTGGTTACTGTCCTGACTTGGATATAAGCTACTCATTGATATGTCTGGGTCATGAAGTTACTGTAGCATAATACACTGGTCAGTGTTCTGACTTGTTTGTGAACTGCTCATGGATATGTCTGGGTTATGAAGTTATTGTAGAGTAATACACCGGTTAGTGTCCTGACTTGTTTGTGAACTACTCATGGATATGCCTGGGTCATGAAGTTACTGTAGCATAATACACTGGTCAGTGTTCTCACTTGTTTGTGAACTGCTCATGGATATGTCTGGGTTATGAAGTTATTGTAGAGTAATACACCGGTTAGTGTCCTGACTTGTTTGTGAACTACTCATGGATATGCCTGGGTCATGAAGTTATTGTAGCATGATACACTGGTTAGTGTCCTGACTTGTATGTGAGCTATTCATGGATATGTTTGGGTTATGAAGTTATTGTAGCGTAATACACCGGTTAGTGTCCTAACTTGGATATAAGCTACTCATTGATATGTCTGGGTCATGAAGTTATTGTAGCATAATACACTGGTCAGTGTTCCGACTTGTATTTGAGCTACTCATGGATATGTTTGGGTTATGAAGTTATTGTAGCATAATACACTGGTTAGTGTCCTAACTTGTGAGCTACTCCTAGATATATGAAGCTATTGTTCATTGTTTGTGTGCTGATGTTTGTGAGTCTCTTATATACATCCTTTTAAAAGTAAACTTGATAAATCAGATAAACAGAGTAAAATTTAATGAAAGTACAACATTTCACCAGGTTAACCTGGCATCATCAGGTAAATCAACTACGATGAATGAATTGAAACTACAAATATATATAATAATAACAGTGCAAGGGTACATTGAACTTTGATTGGGTATTATTATGTATATTTGTAGTTTCAGTTCATTCATTGTAGTTGATGTACCTGATGATGCCAGGTTAAACTGGTGAAACGTTGTACTTTCATTAAATCTTACTCTGTTTATCCGATTTATCAAATTTACTTTTAATTACGACAGAGTACTTTCTTTTATCGTAATACATCCTTTTGTGTTCACTGTATAAAAAAACATAAAAGTAGTAAATTCTGGTGAAGAATGTCTGATCAGAGAATTCTAAATAAAAATGTGTTTTAGTCTTGTTAATTTCTATACAAGCTACATTGAATACAGCTAGTAATATAAAGCTGTTTTGTGCTATTATACACTGAAATACCTACATCTTTTTTAAAGTCAAGTACGTAAAGGCAGGAAATTATAAAAAGTGAACAAATTTCAAGAAGTCTGGAGTTTGTATGTCAGAATTTAGTAGATGATCCTTTACAATACACAATTAAACCCCTCAACTTGTATTAGGCCCAGTATGGCCAGATGGTTAGGGCGCTCGACTCGCAATCTGAGGGTCGTGGGTTCGAATCCCCGTCACACCAAACATGCTCGCCCTTTCGGATGTGGGAGCGTTATAATGTGATGGTCAATCCCACTAATCATTGATAAAAGAGTAGCCCAAGAGTTGGCAGTGGGTGGTGATGACTAGCTGCCTTCCCTCTAGTCTTTCACTGCTAAATTAGGGACGGCTAGTGCAGATAGTCCTTGTGTAGCTTTGCGCGAAATTCAAAACAAACAAACAATCAACTTGTATTTCTTTTGGTATTACTGCAATTTAATTTGCCAACCTTTAAGGAAATTCTCTATATTTTATGTAATGTTACTTTCATTAACAGTATTGGTTAGAATGTTTAAAATAACTAGTTTTATTATTTATGACTTTTTATTATAGAGATAATTTTCCATTGGTAGCAGTAACTGTACTTTGAACTAACTTAAATCTTCTAAGCTGGCTGAATGTCATTTATTGGTTTATAGCTGAAATTATCGTTAACAGTAAGTATATATAGCTGTCATGTACTTAATATTACGCATACACTTTTGAAGTACCATCAGCTGTCAAATTATGAACTTGAAAAATTCTAAGGCTGAAGATTACATATTCAGTATTAAGTTAACAATAGAAGTGGTCTAATTAAGTTGTGGTCTCATTATGATAGCCATTGTATTATTCACTCTTAATCTCAGGTGAGATCTCAAATCATCCACATAACTTTACAACACACCTAAGGCATAGTTTAATATATTGTTTGTTTACATACAAATCTTTAAATACTACATCGTAAGTTGGTATGTGTGAATTGTGATATATTGTATTCATTGGTTTTTGTAGCAGTTTGCCTTTAAGCCCAAAAACAAAAATGTACATTCCTGTATTAAAATATTGTATGTAAAGAACTACTCACTTGTAGTGCTTGTTTATTATTATAAGGCAATGTTACATGTAATGAAGACTGGAATATCCCTCCTTGGCTGTTTAGGGATGCTGTACTTTTTGAGACATACATATTGTTACTAATAATTTTAGCAGCAGAAAAAAAAATCTGATTTTTTATATCTTAAAAATCTTTGTTTAAAATATTAATATACTGACAAATGGTAAGCAAAGTGAGGTTATATCCTGCTCATCTTGAAAATGTTCAAAGTGGAAATAAAGACTAGATAAATGCCTTCTTGTGAAAAACTACAAATTAAGTTTGTTTTTTCTATGATGTAATTATGTGTATAAAAATGCCAATTGATGTTTCCAAACTTAATATTTTCATGTTTTTGTTTAAATATAACAAACTTATTTTTAAAAAAATACCTGTTAAGTTATAGGGACATGATAACAAATAAGTAAGTTGTCTGCTCAGAATTTACACATTGTGCTGGTAATAACTTCTCTAGAGTTAATCAGGAAACAAGTTGCTGGTTTAAAATTCATATTTTTTAAACTTATCTTTGTATTGGTTAAATTCAGGTGTGTGCTTTTTAATTGTATAGAATTATTTGTGCTCCATGTTTCAAATCCAGGTGTTGTTGAAAGATGATAGTGTAGTATTCAAACATTGTAGGACTTAAGAAATCTTCTCAAATCTGAAGTACGATATCTTGTGGTAAACATTTCTCTGGAGAAATATATGCGTATTCCTATAAATTACGTACTACTTAGTATTGCTGACAAACTATTCTGTTGAGAATGTGCAACAGTTTTTAAACAAAGCTAAAACTTTCTGTAATATACTTTGTTACTTTAAAGCTTCATGGATATTCACCAGTAGAAGTAGACTGTTTTAATCAGTTTCAGCACAGGTTTTGATTTCTCTACTCTCCTGCAATAGATGCATCTCTACCTTGGACTGGCCGTGATGTGTGGCTTCATTCTGTATGATACCCAGCTTATCATTGAAAAATGTCGCATGGGAGACCGTGACTTTATCTGGTTAGTGTTCACCAAGGCTGTATTTAACTTTAATCTAGGTGACCTGTATACAAACTTTCTCAATAAGACACTACTTATACTTTCTGTTATATAATATACTAATGTTTTACTTATTAACTGCTAGCTGAGACACTATTGCACTATTATTGCATTATTAACTTAATAGTTGGATTTAGGATTAACTTTAACTTAAATCTACTAAGCTGACCAAATCATGTGAGATATTGGAATTACAGACAAGAAAATTGTTAACAGTGATACCCTTCCAATGAAACTGTATAAGTAGAGTTGAAAGTACATTTAGTATGTTTGTATAATTATCTCCCTTGTCTGTAATGTTTAAATGTCATAACTTATGTATTTAAACATAATAATAAAACTGAATAATACTATTAGACTAGGCTTTGTGGCAACTATCCACGTTTAACAATAACACTATTAGATTAGGCTTTGTGGCAACTATCCACGTTTAACAATAACACTATTAGATTAGGCTTTGTGGCAACTATCCACATTTAACAATAACACTATTAGACTAGGCTTTGTGGCAACTATCCACGTTTAACAATAACACTATTAGACTAGGCTTTGTGGCAACTATCCACGTTTAGCAATAACACTATTAGACTAGGCTTTGTGGCAACTATCCACGTTTAACAATAACACTATTAGATTAGGCTTTGTGGCAACTATCCACATTTAACAATAACACTATTAGACTAGGCTTTGTGGCAACTATCCACGTTTAACAATAACACTATTAGATTAGGCTTTGTGGCAACTATCCACGTTTAACAATAACACTATTAGACTAGGCTTTGTGGC